TGGTATGCTTCGTTCAGTTACACGTGTGCTGTAGAAATTCGTTAACGAATTATTAGTTAACGAATTGAAGATCCTTATGGAAGCAGTTCGTTAACCAAATTTAAGCTAACGGCGTTCGTTAAGCGAGGTCACATATAGAGTAAATAAATAAATAAATAAATATATACAGTCCTTACCCTCACTTTCTGCGGTTAATGCAACCCACATGCACGGAAAGTGAAACGCGTAAAGTGAATAACATATAGGATTAATTGAAATAGAGTCAGGCGACCCCAAACTCCACTTTTGACCACACACAACTATGTTGTAGTAAAAATATTATCTTAACTTTATGATGGTATGCACACAATTAATAATTAAGAAATATCAATAATAATAGGTTTTTAACACTTACATTAGTAGAAAAGAATGGCTGGGCACACGGGGATGGGCGGTTGGTTCAGGCAGAAGCAGATTATTATTGGCCTCACCTGTATCACTCGTATCAATTGTATCACTATCACCACAGGGGCTTGCAGGGGCCTCTTTGTCAACTCCCAAAGTTCATATAAGTCCATATCCTCACTATAATTATCACTATCACTGACTTGGGCGGCTGTAGTGGGTGGCGGGTGAACTGGTAATGTTTTGATGTCTGGCGACCTTATGCGCACCATGTTAACGCCGCTTACCAACATAGCGGATGGCGGGGGTTTGGATCCAAAAATGGCCTGGCTCGCCAGCCGCTCTCCAGCAGTCGATTACTTAGCAGAATGCAAGCATGTTAGGTTCGGCAGAGCACCGCTTAAGCGGAATGTGGGACTGTGTATATATATATATATATATATATATATATATATATATATATATATATATATATGTATGTATGTATATGTATGTGTATGTATATGTATGTATGTATGTATGTATGTATGTATGTATGTATGTATGTATGTATGTGTATGTATGTATGTATGTGTATTGTATATATATATATATATATATATATATATATATATATATATATATATATATATATATATATATATATAAAGCAGTCATCTTTTTAATTTACACTACAAAATTCCCTTTTTGTAAAATAAAGTAAACTTTGGCACACATTATAGATTCTACCTTATACAAAATCTATATCTGTAATCATACCTGTGAAAAGATGGTTTTGTTTCTTGCCAAGAGACTCCAAAGCATGTTCTGCTACTCGATGTAAGTTATTATCTACAAACTCCAACACACACACAGGCTGCTCCTCTTCCTCCTGTAGCACAATCAGTTCTCTAGACAGCAACCATGACACAACCCTGGGTTCGGCATCGAGCTCCTTTGTTGATATGTATTTAAACTTTGTCCCTTCTATTTTATACAAAAATACAGCAGGGATTCTGAAAGAAACGATGAACTTTAAATGTCTTTAAGATAGAGTAAAATAATCAAATACAAATGTAGTAACATAACAATCTACAGCACAACCTCTAACATACAAATACAAATTACAAAGTAAAATGTAACACCTCGCCTCATATAATAGGGTCTGGTCATGGTAGGTTACATGCATCAAGTCTTTTTTTCTAATCTATCACTGGACCAGAGGTGTCATAGGAAGCCACTGCATCAAGACATCCTAAATCTGGTAAGCAAATGCATCATTATAACTCATGCTTTAATAACTGATGTAAAACAAATACAACCAACAGAAACAAAGGCAATTTTACGAGGCATGTCTTAAACCTTTGAAAATTATTCACAAGTGAGCACATGATGTCAACAGCTTTGGAGACAACAGTTACCTGAGAAATTGAGCTTCATTAGTTGTAAAACTATGTCAAGTTTAAGTCAAAAGTTTTCAATGCTTCTGATATCAAATCTCTTCACCCATTGTTGCTCTTTATCACATAAGCAGCATGGTTTTAACCACATAATGTCAACACATCTTGAAAGGTTAACACAGGTTAGCTCCTTGTTGCCAAACTACAGTACACTGTCAAACTACAGAACACTGTAATATGTGAGAGGCTACCTTTCTGGAAGACTGCAATGAGTGATACCTAAATGTTGGGATGAAAAAAAGAAAAAAAGAAAAAAAAAGTAATTGGACATTAGATAAATAGTCATAGATCTGACACTTGAAGAAAGACATTATATGAGCAAAGGTATATGTTAGAGAGAAGAGAATTCTATAGCTTGGCTCTAGAAGGATGGACCCCTCAGTATATTTTTGGGCAGTGCTGTAATGCTAACTTTTTATCTTGTCCACTTGCTGCTTTCAGCACCAATCGGTGGGAGGAAGAGGAGGCTGAGTATGGTTAGTACCTTAAAAAAATATATCAAAGTAGAAATTATATAGCTTAAATCCTGCACAAGTCTAAAACTGTGCCTTTCCTTGTAAAATTCACATATTCTATTATGTCTATACAGTATTTACAAAATCCTCAAAACCGTTTCGGTCTTGGTCCCAAGTGCCTAAGATTTGAGGATCTATTCTTGTATAATTACCATAATCATCTTTAGTTTCACTTTTGCTAATATATGTAAAACCTATACAGGTTGACAATCCCTTATCCAAAATCCTTGGGGCCAGATGCATTACAGTTTTGGGAATTTTTCGGTTTTCAGAATGGTTAGTTTTTTTTTTTTTTTTTTTTTTACAGGGATCAGCCCACCCGAGCACAGGTCACTGACCCACATTGGGGCCTGGGGGCTAAAATATAATAATAATAATAATAATAATAATAATAATAATAATTCATAGGTCTAGGTCGTGTTTCTCACTTTTGATCTTTTATCATTCTTGTACTGTATTTCTTTATTATTATTATTATTATTTTATTATTACAGTATTATTGTTATTATCATTATTGTTATCATTCTTATTTTATTTTTGTGTATTTTTTATTAAAATTTTTATTTACTATGAATAATTATTATTACTACTGTATTATCATTATTATTATTATTATAATTATTATTACTATTACATTTTCACCCCCCAGGCCCCAATGTGGGTCAGTGACCTGTGGGCTGTTACAAAAAAAAAAAAAAAAAATGCTCCACAAAAAAACTTTCGGTTTTCAGAGCTTTTCGGTTTTTGGAATTTCGGATAAAGGGTTGTCAACCTGTATTAAGAGTTACAGCATTTTTAAACAACTTCACAAGTAGTTGTTATACATGGTAACAGTTACCTCAACAGATACACAGTTCACTACAGGTAGAGAATATATTTTATTCTCCCTGTTCCTGTGAGAGCTTGAAGTTATTGTTACAACACTGTATTAAAAGTGGTGCCCCCCCCCAATGAAGGGGTTAATGGAGACTCTACTAACCCCTTGTGTATGGGCTCTCTGAGCTGAATAAAATTGTCTGGCATTAACCATGGGTATCCCCATAGTGAAAAGGTTAAAGGCATGGTCATCAGCCAATCAGTAAACATAACCTTGAAAAACAGCAACATCAGTACAGTACAATATTTTTAAGCAAATCTCTCTGATCTATAAAAAGAAATCTCAATGAAGTCATTTATTTTGATAAAGTAAAAAATATCATGCCCAAAAGATATCTTTCTCATGTTGTATGCTCATATGATTTCTTTTTTAATATTGACTCCTGTAATTTCAAATAACAATACATGGTCAGTATCTATCTGTGAGTACAACCTTGAACTAGAATGACTTACCTTCAGAGAGAGGTCAGTAAACCAACCCCGATGTGTTCTCAAGTTAACATTTTCACAAATTTTCCCTATAATAGCATTAGTACTGTATTATCACGTAATGTCTTACTTTTCTGCTCTTCTGACTCGGCAAAAGAATCAGATACTGTACAGTATACCCATGTCAAGTTTCCCTTCTTTTTTCTAGTTAGTAATACTCTATGTATGTGGTTAGATTTTCTGGGTGAGTGGCTTTCAATAAATATAAATAAAAGATTAAATTAATGACAACATGGGTACTGTTTTACAATGTTCTATTTTTTTTTCCAAGCCCTTTATCAAGAACAAATACAGACTCCACCTTCATTCTGAAATTCACTCCTCTTATTGTTGTAACAGATGTGTTCTGCTACAACCCAATACAGTATATCAATCTGGTTAATCTGTCTAGTTTACCCCAGTCCTCTTCATATGTTTGCCATATCACATGCAGATATAAACTACAGCTGACCTGTCTACTAAAGCAGCTATAAGATGTTCATCACTGGAATCTGAGTATAAAGTAAAGCTTTTGACAGCTGGGTAGTCAGGTAGAAATCTTCTAGCCTCTTCAGATTCTTCAATTTTCTGCTGTATATACTTTTCATAGTGATGTAGTAGGGGTGCAGTGTGTTCTCTGGTATCCATGCAGGCCACACACTCTCCTTTCACATAATTCCAAAGTCTCAAGGTTCCATCCTGGTAAAAAGGAAAGTTGTGCAATTAATAATACAGTATACTGTAATGATAATAATAGCCAAGTTAGGATAAGGACTCATCTAGTGTAACCTTAAAGTCTGTGGGTTGTAGCCCAGGCTAATCCATGATAATGATGGCTGTCATTAATAAAAAAATTACAGTAACAGAACTCTCCAGTCACAACAACACAAGCCCTCAGAAATGGGTCTAAGAGGTGAAGTAACCATTCAAATCTGAAAGATAAAAAAGCCCGAGTGTTACAGCAGATTTCCCTCCCGTATATATTATCAGCTATCTTTCATTTTCTTGTAAACAGCCCTCAGACCTCCTGAACACAATAAACCTAAATCGGGATCATTGATTTTTAAGATTAATCCTTAATTTATATATAGCCTAAACTATATCAAAGGATTCACATATCTAAAGTCAACTAGATACAGCTACTCCCCGACTTATGACCTACTCAACTTACGACCACCCGAACATACGACCGCCTCAGTCGTACCAAAATTTTGTTAAATTACATATTTTCGAGTTCCAACGTCAGTGATTGCACTGTGTACTGACAAAATTTTCGTTTGTAATTCACTTTAAAATGGCTGGCAAGCTTAAAAGTGAGAGTTTTGTGGTGCTGAGAAGAAAAAGAGACACCCATTTTAGATTTTCTATGTATTATTTAAGCATTTTCGACTTACGACCTGGATTTGGGTCCTTAACCTCGTCGTAAGTCGGGTAGCAGCTGTACTGTATAATGGAGGAGATGGAAAAATTAAACTGTATATAACAAATGAGGCTAAATAAAGAGATTCAGTAAGGAATATAAAACTAACCTACAAAACCTCAGTGCCACACAAAGTTTCTGTACTATCTCCTCTTCTGACAGCACCCATAAAGGTTACTGATGAATACTAAGCACTCCTGTACATAGCACATGTACTGTACAGGTATACCCCGATAACCGACGCACATGTGGATTGTGAAAAGTCAACGGATAGTGAATCAATGATTTTTAAAGCAATTAATGCCATAAGAATATAACAAATTTGGGAGGTTAGGGGCCAGCCACAGAGCCATCCCAAGGGTATGGCAACCGGTGCGACCGCCCCGGGCCCAGCGGCCCTTACCCCACCCAACACCAGAATTAGTGACAGCGTTAAGCTGACCTCACCTTACCACCCAGATTCAGGAGACCACCTGAAGGATTAGTGACCAGCATAGTTAAGCAATGCATCTGCTGACATGAGGTCAAAGGTAAGATTAAACCACCCCATCTTACCACCCAGACTGAGAACAATGTCATTCTTTACTGTGCTCTCTGCCGAAGAGGAGTGAGGACGTTGACAGCGGTCACCTGTCAGTGTTGTCCAAACTCTGAATCTCCAGTTGTCCGTGATTTGTGTTTTGTGAAATTGTTGATCTACATTATTCTACTAGCGTACACAGCCCTCGTATTTTATTATACCTCCAGCAGGGATAGAGACAGATACAGAAAATACATCTCGGGTGTAGAGAAAAGGAAGAGAGAAGAAATCGAAATGTTAATGAAAGGTTCCGTAGAAAAATGTTTTCAAAAACACCAGAAACTAGTGCAAAAAAGGACCTGAGCGACTGTGATGGTGATAGTGTGGGTCATACTCAAGCTGAGGAAGAGGAGACAACAACAATATATGAGGCGCAGAGCGCCTCATATGTTGTTGTTGTTTCTCTCTTATTACTTCTCTCCCTCTACACCTGTTTTCTCCTCTGCTCGGCTGATCATACGAGAATACTGTTTAATAATAATAAAAACGAACTTGCGACTGTGGCAATGGCCAGTCCCACACATCAAGTGTCATCTCATATCTATAAGGCCTCATTAGGCTTATATCAAACCTGATTAGACCACACTACCCCCATTAAAGATAATATATACTCTATTCAAAATGCTAGCCATCATTTATGGGTTAAACAGAAGAGGAAATATCACTGGAGCATTTAGGCCTGATTGCATAACACACCTAACATGGAAAGTCGGAGAAAAGATAAAATAGAAAAGAAAAGAGAAGAGAAAGATAAGAGAAGAAAAAGGAGAAAATAGAAGAGAAAGAAGATGAGATAAGAGAAGAAAAAGGAGAATTGAGAAAATAGAAGAGAAAGAAAATAAGAGAAGATAAGAGATTAGATGAGAAGAGAAAGAGAAAAGATGAGAAGAGAGAGAATAAGAGATATGAACAATAAATACAGTGTAGTCTTGATAATTCAAGAAATTCAAATTTGTGTACTCATGGTAAGAATTCACACCACATCAATGCCCGCCAAACTCAAAAAAGCTATGTCGCTCCTCTTTCAACCGTCAGATCAACAGGGTAGTCAAAGAAACTTGCGAAGTATTTCCCCAATATGTAATTGTCAGCTATGCAAATCATCAGCTAAAGGGATGTCAGTTTACGGAGTATACCTGTACAATGTTCAAGGACATTCCTCATGCCAAACCCCTCAATTGTTCCCCTAAAACAGAACTCACATCTCAGTTTTACACAATCTCATGACATAGGACACATTAATATCTTGGTATTAATGCACCAAGGGTTTAAACCCATATACTCAATAGGAAAATACCAATTTCATCCATGAGTATTCAGCTACCAATACTGAATGCTAATGTATAATTTTAACTAAAGTACACCATAACACAAGTACTTACTCCAGAGCAAGAAACAATAAATTGTTTATTTTTTGGTAGAAGATCTACTTGTGTCACAAATTCTTCATGTCCAAGACAAAATGCTTGAATATTGTAAGAATTTGGAAAGTGTGATATTCTAATTTTCTCATCTCGGTCACAGGTGATGATGTATTTGCTGTCCTCAGTAATTGCCTAAGGGAAAAATAATTTTAATGAGACATATTACAAACATTTTGCTTTAGTAACTTCAGTTAATACATGTTCGAAACAACTTATAGTTTAACAATGAACACTGGATTGTCTGGAATATGAAATGAAAAACAATATTTCTGATCTTCCATACAACAGTAAACAGTATCCATCATCTAAAGCTAGTTTTGCAAAAGATAATAAACAGAGCAAACAGTTCTAGTTCTCTGACAACAAATTTAAAATTTTCCCCCTCATCCCATAGGAAAAAAAAAAAAATTCTAATATTGTACATGGGTCCACCACCAATTTTCCGGCACCCTTGGTTCCAAAGCCTTGCCGGATTATCTGTTTTGCCAGACCAACCGAGGTCACATAATAATAATTCAACAATACGCCTCTGACCCACTAATTATACACCTCCTGTGTCCCTAAAGCACCATGGACTGCTAGAAACTTAAACAAATATTGAATGTAAATTAAATGTGAAAAAGCCATCAGTTTGAGCAACTTATAACTGTGCACTGTACTCAAATATACTACACTAAAGGATTACAATTTTTATCTCTTGTACAAACTATGTGATAGTTATACTCAAATTAATCACTATCTTACAAGAATTCCAGCAATACAAGTTATATTCTGCTATGTCTAGTCAGCGATATTTTATAAGATAAAAACTTTAAGCCTAAAACTATCTTCACCTTGGCTGGGAGGGAGGGGGAAGGGGGAGGTGAGGTGTTGACAGCTGTCGGAGAGGGGAGATAACAGTGCGCAGTTATCAAATAGAGGGAGTTTAAGTTTTGCACTTATAAAATGTCACTGAATTGACTTAGCAGAGTATAATTTACATTGTTGTAATTCTTGTAGGATAGTGATTAATTTAAGTACAGTACAAACATCACATAGTTTGCACTTGACATAAATTTTTTAGTAATTAACTTAGTACATTTGAGTACAGGTTTGCCCTTAGGACAATTGTTTCTTTTACTTTTTTCAAAATATGTATTTTTTCACAATATGTATTTAGGATGGTGTGTGCATGTAAATGATTAAAAATATAGGAAGAAAGCTACGTATACCTACCCGAAAATACGAGTTGAAAAACTTGCTCTAAAATGTACTACACTATAGGACTAAAATTTTTATCTCTTGTGAAAACTATATGATGTTTATACTTAAATTATTTGCTATCTTGCAAGGATTCCAGCAATGCAAGTTGTGTGTTGATGACCTGTGCCCAAGTGAGCTATTCCCCGTATAAAAAAAAAAAAAAAAAAAAAAACAATCTTTGACATTTTACACGATAAACACTTTAAGCCTAAAAATAGCTTCAATCTGGCTGGGAGGGAGCGAGGGAAGTTAAGTGCCCTCTCGCAATTTTGTCCAGACTAAAGGAGGTGCCGGACCATCAGTTCCCAGAAAATCGGTGGTGTACCTGTATTAACCTATGACAGTAATTTTTCACAAGCATAATATTTCACCTGCTAAGCATAATGATGTTAGAATCAAATATAAAATGAACTGCACCAGGAATTAACCAAATATGACTTGTACTCTCTCCCAAAAAAGTAACCCCCCCCCCAGGCCTGGTGTATTTGGAAATAAACACCATAACACGTGCAAAGCGGTCACAGTTCGGTTGGCATTTCTGATTGTGAGTTGCACCATTTGCTCTTTATTCTTGCAACTGATAACCAGCATGATATCTGCAGTATACCACCTCTTCTCTACATAATGCAATGAAATAGGATGTATTGTGATACCATATGCCAAACCAATAACGTCATGAGTAACCCCGCTGATTTATGCACCTTAGATACTATTTCAGTCCCAGGAGATGGGCTGCCAAATAGGAATATAACGTTACTATGTTTCATGAACCGAGGTTACAACGGAATTGCTTTGAATTAAATATGAAACACTATGATCCGATATTACATTCATTTGCAAATATAGTACAGTAATTACAGGTGCCACATTCAATTAAATTATGATTTTCTGCATTTTGATATTATTTCTACCTCAACTGATGAGGTAAAAATTATGAATATAACATATCATCTCATGATTTGTACTGGCAACGAAACATTATTTGATGCACAATATGAGAAGATGTAGTCAAGTCCTCCCATGGGATTGACATTAACAGGCAACACAAGGGGGTGGATAAACTATACTCTATCAATAGGTAGTAGTAACTCTAATAATAAAATTTAAAAGTTAAAAAAGATCCCTATAGATACTGTTTTCATTTCCTAGAATGTTTTGCCATTATCACAATATGACTATTATAATTATTATACATATTAAAATTACAATGAGGTAAACATAATGCTATACTGTATACAGTACGGTATATATATATATATATATATATATATATATATATATATATATATATATATATATATATATATATATATATATATATATATATATATATATATATATATATATATATATATATATATAACAATCATTGATTTATAGCTACCAGTATACAGTACAGGTTGACAATCCCTTATCCGAAATCCTTGGGGCCAGAGGTATTTCAGATTTAGGAATTTTTCGGTTTGCAGAATGGTTAGGTGTTTTTTTTTTCTTTTTTTTTTTTAAGCCCACCCGGGCACAAGTCACTGACCCACATTGGGCCTGGGAGGCCAAAATATAATAATAAGTATAATAATAATAGAAATAATAATAATAATAATAATAATAATAATAATAATAATAACAATAATAATAATAATAATTCATACGTCTAGGTCGTGTTTCTCACTTTTTATCTTCTTTCATTCTTGTATTTCTTTATTATTATTATTATTATTATTATTATTATTATTATTATTATTATTATTATTTTAGTAATACAGTATTATTGTTATTATCATTATTATTAATTTTATTATTATATTTTATTATTATTATTATTATTATTATTATTGTTATCATTTATTTTATTTTGGTGTACAGTATTTTTTATTAAAATTTTTATTTACTATGAATAATTATTATTATTACATTTTCGTCCCCCCAGGTCCCGATGTGGGTCAGTGATCTAAGCCTGGGTGGGCTAATCCCTGTTTTATAAAAAAAAAAAAAAATAAAAATTGCTCTACAAAAAACTTTCAGTTTTCAGAGCTTTTCGGTTTTCGGAATTTCGGATAAAGGGTTGTCAACCTGTACTGTTATTCGGAAAGTGACATTTCTCCATGTCTGTCAGTTCAAGCTGTGTTTTCCAATGAGTCACGGGTACTAGTGTTAGTCATGGATTTCCAGCAGAAAACACCCACTATTTGACTACAGGTGATATATTTTCGCTACATTAATATCATTATATTATTCTACTAAGGATTTAGCACGGTGATTCACCATAATTACAACAAATGCCAGAAATAATAACTGGCAACCTCACAGATACCAAGAAGGCAGGCATACCAACATAATGCAAGAATCACAAAAAGTGATCGGAAATATTTGTCCATTGTGACACATTGTAGTATCGATACTTTTTGGGGAGAATGTACATAAAAAGCACAACAATTAATTATTAAAGCCAATGATGATGACACCAATGATAATAATGATTATGATGTTTGGTTTATAGCATCAAGTCTTCTTCATTATGCACAGGTGAGTTAAAATATGCTAAAAACATATAAACCATTCAAGACACTAGTTCTTTCATATGAATTACTCTGGTATAGATAAGTTTTCATTCCTGAAGTTATTTCAATTAAATCTTTTAATCTGGGTTCTTTACTCCTACTACTGTACTACACTGCAAACTGATTCTTTAAATTCTCTTGCTTTTATACCTCTTAGAATTAATTACATACTGTAATATAAAAGACCATCACAGAATGAAACTGATACAAGAAATCAGTGAAAATTATTCATTATAAAAACTAGTGTTGTGTAATTAACCCTCTCATGGTCATTTGACACAGATTGTGTCGATAAGCGCCCCCATGCTGGCACAACCCCTCCTGCTCAGCCGCATCTCACACTGAGAGCACCCCTCCCATAAGTAAAAATGCTGGAACAATGGACCAGCCTTATCAACCACCTAAGTTCCTCCCACTTGCCTCGTGAGCTGGTAGATGCATCTCTAAGGGACTAAGGGGTGCAATTTGAGTCTGGGTTGCTCTGTCTGATGTTTATTAAAATGGAAAAGCCATTCCAGTTACTGATGCAACCTGTATCGAAAGACCGCGAAGGGTTGAGATTTCCGACCATGGCCAGGAGTACCAGAAGGTTAAAGATCAGATGCAGTGATAAATAATATAACTAACAACAAGTGTCCAGATACATTTACTACACTCCTTCGTATGTCTGAAATATGTTCTGTCAATAAATATTTTCTTTAAAATTTATAACCTAATGATTCATATTATGGACTGAACATTACATACCAAGTCTAAGAGCATTGACAGGTGACCCAGTAAGGGTTTTTCTTCCATCTTTGTGTTTCCTTCTTCATCATTCTTCTGCTCAGATAAACTGGCTTGGTCATAGTCTGGTTTACATCCCTTTAATGGCAAATGATACACATCACCAGATTTATCTGAAGGTATATTCAAGCAAAATATTAATATCATAAATAAGTGTTTTATCTAAACATCTAAAGTTTCCAAAAAAAGAATTTATTCTTAGAACTCACAATACAGTACAGTAGAGTGGTCCCTCGGTTAACGAACAAAATTCGTTCCACAGAGTCATTCGTTAACCGAAAATTTTGTTAACCGAATCCATTGTTTCATTGGGATATTGGGTAATTGGTTCCAGTTCACAGAAAAGTACATACAAAGTAAAAAAAAAATGCAGTAAAGTATACTTACTTTGAGGTGTGTATGTAGAAGATTCCTGGTTGATGATGATGATGGGAATTAGAAGTGGGGGTGGAGAAGGGAGAAGGAAGTGGGGATGGAGGAGAAATCACCTTTCAGGGGACCCATGCTTGATGCAGTCATTTCACCAATAAATTTTTAAGTTCACTAGGTGTAACTCAAGATTATTTTATTTAAATCAACATTGCACTGCACTATATATTATCAATATGTTAACTAAATTTCAGAATGACCAATAATTTCAATGTAAAAATGCACAAATATTCAAGACACCAACAAAATCGATGTTCACTCCACTGTCAACAAAGCCAAACTGACGCCTGGTGGCTGAGTCAAGCGGCTGATGGGCACACAAAAAACTAGTTCCCTGTACTGCATATATTATCAATATGTCAACTAAATTTTAAAATGACTAATAATTTTAATATAAAAAATGCAAAAATATTAAAGAGCACAACTTTCTTGATATTTACTCCACTGGAAACGAATGTAAACATAGAACAGATTACTGAATTGGCAGACTAGCTCATCAGCTGATGCTCACAACAAAACGTGTTGTTCGTAAGGATTTCGTTAATCGAAGTTTTGTTCGTTAACGAATTGAAGATCCTTATGGGAGGTAATTTGTTAACCGAAATTTCGTAAATCGAACCGTTCGTTAACCGAGGGACCACTGTATATGCACATATACCTGATAAATACAACAACTCCCTATAAAGTAACTGTCTATAGTTACTGCTCAATACTGTATAGTATGATGGGAAAAAGAACAAATCTAATCATTATTCCCAAGACAAAAGAGTCACTCGTATTCATATTAGCCCTCTCGCGCACGATGACGTGATCCGCGTCATATTCATGACAAGACCAAATTCAAGGCGATGCAAATTGGGTCACCAAACTTTAAAAAATTCGCCCAAAATTAAGTTTTCAACAGAATTGCGTCAAATTTTGATGTGTCTTACTAGCAAGTAAGTTCTATCAAATAAACTAATTGGCAACTCTCGAGGCCCATAGGAAGGGAAGACCGGAAGAATAAATGCACAGTATTATCTTAGCAGTCAGGCCGCGAGTGTGAGCCGTGTCCATTTAAATTTCCATAACTCCGTGCAGGCTGCCTCACCTCCTGGATTACAGTGCTTACCCTACTACCTGAAATAATTCCTTTTTAGTGTTAGAGAAGTGAAGTGATGGTTGTGTAATGTAATATTTTTTTCATATTTACAGGGAAAGTGTTTTAGTTTTCAAAAACCGTTACTGTATCAGGCTATACAACCTCATTATAGTGACAATGTCTCTGAAAGAGAATGATCTTCAAGACTTACATGAATTTTATCAGTACCATTCTCTTTGTTATAGTGTTGGCTCCAAGACGCAATATAATTTATATTGATATAAAACATAGGCACAAAAATTATCAAAAAAAAGATAAAAAGAAAAGATTTTCCCATTTCATATTTTTTTTTGCTATTTTCTCAAAACTGTTGATCATATCAAAAATCTGATTACTGCATTGGAAAGCTCATAAAATTCCACTTCTATCACTGTATAGTACTTAAAAAAGTTGGCTCATTCAGACAATTTGGAGCCAGGAGGTTGTGAACGTATTGGTGTGTATTTTTTCTCTCATGTTTATTAGAATTGACGAAAAATAGCTATACAGTATACAGTACTTGTATTATTCTCCTTTTTTCTTGCTTATGTTGCAGAGCAATCATTTATGAAGCAAAGATATATGGTTTATGTCAATAAAAACAAATTTTGGGGAGAAATTGGTAAAGAAAAAAATATATGTCTTTGTGCACTGTCTTTCCTGTCCTGGTTGCCTCAGAGATGTGATCTTGGAACCGGAAAACTTAAAAAATATCTCGTGTGCGAGAGGGTTAATTGTTTTTAATGTAAGATACTCAAAGGGAATACGGTAATAGTTATACAGTACAGTAATGTACATTATAATACTGTAGTTATTAAACATACGATATAATGTTATACAGGTTGTACCTCTCTAGTCCGGCATTCTGTGGTCCGGAAACTCCCGTGGTCCGGAACGATTTTAGTTTGTCCAACAGGTAGATAGGCAGCTTTTTTATCTGAATTATTATTATTATTACAGGAGTATTAAATTTTTGCCCCTCAGGCCCCAATGTGGGTCAGTGACCTATGCCCGGGTGGGCTAATCCCCTTAAAAAAAAAACAAAACAAAGCCGGGGAAATTAAGGTTTGTTTACATCCGGCAGTTCGGCTGCTCTCTCTCTCTCTCTGCTTGTCTATACAGAGTACAACATTTAACCCTTCAATATATATGAGCAGTAAATAAGTGTTGCTTTCATATTCTTATGTAGAGTAATGACGATATGTTTTCACATGTGCGCATTTACATACGCGCAGTCTCACTTTTTTTTTTATCATTAATGGTTAGCTATTTATATTGTTCCATTTATTAACATTAAATAACATTACAGGTACTTCAAACAACCATATTAATTTTTTTACATTAATTTTACTGCAGCTAAAATCAGGGTCTTATTTTCTTCAGTTTTATATGTAGAACCAATCAGTCACTGGTTTTGTAAGCTTTAACATAAACAATGCCGGCAGCCGTCTCGTCTCCTCTAATATTCCACGTATTATTAATAAATTGTATTGTTAATTTTGCACACACAAACATTAATTCAATAAAAACAAATTCAGAAACATTAATTAAAATATATATGAACAGTAAATAAGTGTTGCTTTCATATTCTTATGTAAAGTAATGACGATATGTTTTCACGTGTGTGCATGCGCACTTACATACGCGATCTCTTTTTTTCTTTGCCATTATCGTTAGCTACTTCTATTGTTCCATTTATTTCCATTTATTAACAATAAATAACATTACTTAAAACAACCATATTAATTTTACTACAGCTACAGCCAAGGTCTTATTTTCTTCAGTTTTATATGTAGAACCAGTCAGTCACTGGTTTTGTAATCAACAAAAACAATGCTGTGTCATTTCCTCGTGTGTTTTAATATTCTACGTATTATTAATGAATTGTATTGCTCATTTTGCACACATAAACATTAATTCAATAAAAAAGACATTCAGTAATAAACAATAATGAATCTTTTGTACATAAGAGAAATGACGCTGTTTACACGATTATGCACGTCGTCTGTACGTTGGCGGGCCGTTCAAACCCGTCGAAATTCAAGTTTCCGCCGTCAAAATTTTTATTTATTTATTTTTTTGTGTTCCAATAAAATACGTTAAGAATTAAAAACTCGCGAAATTTGAGAAGCTACTATACAACATTTAACCCTTCAATATGTCTTCAAAGAGACCATGATGCAGAGAAAGTGGTGCTAGTACTTCCAAGCATAAGCACAAGTCACTATCTATCCAGGAAAAGGGTGAATTTCCATGGTCCGGCAATTTCCATGGTCCGGCACCGGTCAGGTCCCGAGGTTGCCGGACTAGAGAGGTACAACCTGTATCACAAATTATATCAAGTTACCTAATGTTCATAGCAACTGATTTAAATGAGATAAGAACACTATAATATGAAAACATTAAAGCTGTGTTTATAAAACACATAGTATGCTCTAATGTTCACAAAATATAAAAATCCAAAACTGTAGGAAAAATACTGCACCAGTTATTTTAGTAATAAAATACAATAATCAATCCAACAACTTGAAAATCTATTCAGGGCATCTAATTACTGTAAGTACAGTATATATATAAAAAAAATGCTGACTCCGGGAAACATTTTTGTGTAATACCATTAATAAACTTGGGTAGGATGGAAAAACAGAATATGTATTGTAGATGTATTCTGATGGATCAATGATTGCAAATTAACATGTTCTTAAAATTGCAAAGCTGCCTGGCTTCATAAAGAACAACATTAAAACTTCAAATAAAGGGGTTACAGCAGTTTATCTTGCAAACATACTTTGAAAAGTACAGTCTCTCCTCGACCCATGACGGGGTTCCGTCCCGACGACCAGGTCGTATGTCGAATTGGTTGTAAGTTGAAAAGGCGAAAATAATACATAGAAATTCTAAAATGAAATAGGGTACAGTAGACAGGGCTGGGTGGTTCATCAAGTTCGCTTTCTTCAGACAGACTAACATTCTTGCTTGTTGAAGGTATTGGATCATCTTTAAGGAGTGAAGAGGCAGCAGTGGTGGGGAGTGAGGAGACAGCAGTGGGGGACTTCTTAAAAAATATGTCCAATTTAGACTGCGCAGTTTGCCTTTTCTTTTCATTGTAAATCTCCCTATAGCAAGCAAGTGCATCTTGGATCAGTCTGTCAACTTTTGCAAAATGCTCAACATTTTAATCCATTTCTTCAAACATTTGCAACATTAATAGTAGCAAATGCCTCTGCCATTTATTTCACTTAAAACATTTTGGGGGTGCAGGCTCTTCTTCTACATATTGTCTCTCTTCTTCCTCTGCAATTTTCTGTGCATCCAGTTCAATAAGATTCTCGTTACTTAGCTCTTCTGCTACACTTCCACCAACTGCTCAACATCTTCATTATCAATTTCTAACTCCAGCTGTTGACCCATTTGCACTATCTTGTTACTAATCTCTGAAATTGCTTCATCTTCATTAAATCCTTTGAAACTGTTCACATATCTTTTCAGGACCTTAGTCCATATTCCATTCATGCACTGACCTGTAACCTCATCCCATGCTGCAACTATGTTCTTTGTACATTGCAAAATGTTGTAGTCCTTCCAAAACTCTCTGAGTGTTCTCTCACCTTCAGTAGCAGCAATAGCCTGAGCGAAGGTCGTACGTAAATAATATGCTTTAAAAGCAGCAATAGCACTTTGATCCATGGGTTGGATGATAGAGGTAGTGTTAGGTGGAAGGTAGACTACCTTAACATCAGGGTGCAGGTCGTCCAGGTGTGGTGGGTGTCCCAGAGCATTATCTAAAATTAATAAAACCTTGAGGGCAACCCCTTGTTGCAGACAATACTCCATGGCTCGTGGAATGAAACAACTCAAAAACCAATCCTCAAACAGTGCTAGGGTCATCCATGCTTTCTTATTACTGCGATAAAACACTGGCAGTGTGTGCTTGCTGACATTTTTAAAAGCCCTTGGGTTCTCTGAATGGCATACAGGTTGACAACCCTTTATCCGAAATTCCGAAAACCGAAAAGCTCTAAAAACCGAGTTTTTTTGTGGGGCAATTTTATTTATTTATTTATTTTTTTAAATAGGGATTAGCCCACCCGGGCATAAATCACTGACTCACATCGGGGCCTGGTGGGCGAAAATGTGATAATGTAGTAATAATAATTATAATAATAATTATTCATAGTAAATAAAATTTTTAATTAAAATATTGTACACCAAAATAAAATAATAATGATAACAATAATAACAATAGAAATAATAAAATATAAAAATAAAATTAATAATAATAATAATACTGTAATAAAATAATAATAATAATAAAGAAATACAAGAATGAAAAAAAAGATCACAAGTGAGAAATGCGACCTAGACCTATGAATTATTATTACAAAACAGTATTATTATTATTATTATTATTATTATTATAATAATATTTTCGACCCCCCCCCCAGGCCCCGATGTGGGTCAGTGATCTATGCCCGGGTGGGCTTAAAAAAAAACTAACCATTCTGAAAACCGAAAAATTACGAAATCCAAAATGACTCTGGCCCCAAGCATTTCGGATAAGGGATTGTCAACCTGTATCATGAAGGGTTTTACCTTGAAACCAGCTACATTCCCCACAACCGAAGTGTGATTCGGTCCTTGAATGCCTTGAATCCTGGCATGGTTTTCGCCTCTTTGTGGATGTATGTCCGTTCTGGCATGCGCTTCCATAATAAGCCTGTTTCATCCACATTAAATATTTGCTCAGGCAAATAATTTCCCTCCATGATGACACGATCTAGCTCCTCCTTTAAAGCTTCGGCAGCATCCACATCAGCACTTGCTGCCTCTCCACTCACCTTTACACTCTGCAAACTGTAATGTTTCTTAAACCTTTGGAACCACCCATGACTTGCTGTGAAGTTTTGGTCACACTCATCTCCTGCCTGCTCTTTCAGGCTTTCGAAAAGGCTTCTTGCCTTAGCCTGTATGGTTAGAAGGCTTAAGGGTACACGCTTTTGTATCTGATCTTCCATCCACATCACAAGTAATTTTTCCATCTCATGAATAGGACCTTGTCTTTTTTTCGTTATTATTGTTCCCTTTATAGGTGCTGATCCTTTTACTACCACACGAATTCGTTCCTTGTCCTTCAAAATTGTTGATATCGTTGAGTGAGAGAAGCCAAGGTCGCGTGAGATGATTGCTACCGTTTTTCCATTTTCATATTGCAATATTATTTTAATTTTCATCTCAAAAGTAATTGAGTGTCTCTTTTTCTTCTCAGCACCAAGATAACTCTCACTTTTACGCGTGCCAGCCATTTTAAAGGGAATTACAAATGAAAATTTCGTCAGTACACAGCGCGATCACCAACAACAACAACGACGGCCAAACACCAACTGAGCGGGCTACGGCGTGGATGCTGTACACCACGAAGCGGCCCAGCCAATGCTGTCGTATGGGCTCACATTACGACCAAACGTTTCGGGACTCGAAAATACGTAATGTGAAAAATATTTTACATGACCATGGCGGTCATATGTCCGGGTTGTCATAAGTCGAATATATCGTAAGTCGAGGAGAGACTGTACCGGGTATTATATGGTCAATCTTGATAAGTTACTTCTTAAATCAGGAAAGGAACTTTAAGGCATAGCTAGAGAAGGCAAGAACTACTGTACGGTATTTGATTTGGCATCCTTTAGGTTATTTCTCATGTCATATAAAAATTCCTACATTAGCAAACACCTAGCCCAGGCTAGACCATCACTTGAAGAAAAAAGTTCATAAAAAAATACTGTAATATAAATTCAAGGATTTAAAATTTGGCTTTGTGGTATTAATTACATATTTTAGGATCATCCTGCCAAAATAAATTATCACTGTCAAAAAATACAAATTTCTAATGTCACTAAAAACTTGTGTGAACTTATCTCATATGCAGTACTGAACACTTGATAAAAAAGTATCTTTCAGGAGGGGTCCGATGAATTTGGAACTGAACAATCCTGTTGTCTCACTAGGGTTGGTAGGCGTGATTGTGAGACATTTTCTACCTATTATGGTAGGCCCAATTTAATTATTTCATTCAAAATATAAAATTACTTCATTGCATTATGATTGGTGAATAACATTATGCCTCATGACCCTTTATCAAAAACCTTCATTCGTGGTGTAATTTTTTTCGCACAAGAATTGTAAAGATACTTTTTTTACCGAGTGTACCTGTATACAGTATATAATTACCCTGTACTGGAGTCTTGATGTAAAGTGTTGTTTTTTTTTTTCAAAAAGTGGCCTGGACATTTTTTTTTATTTATTGTCCAAGTATACAATCTCTGTTTTTCTTAAGTTTGAGTGCACCACCTGCCTCATACATTTAGTTTGAAGTGCAATACAGCTGACAGCAGATATATGAAGACACAAAAGAAATTGAAAACTTTGTATACAGTATTTGGGGAGTGAGGTGACAAACAACAATGCAAAAGAATTGGAAATATTAAAAAGACCAGAAGAATGTGATACTACACATGCTTCTACAAGCTTGAAGACTTACCTGGTAATATGTAAAAGAACTTCATGTTCCCACAGTTTACAAAATAACAAATAATTAAACATGGCTGTAATTTGGATGTAGAATAGAGAATCAGTATTTCCCTATCAACAGATAAAATATTTGCTAACAATCTCTCAGATACTCATATGAGTATTGTATACACTCACTCCAAAAAGTATCTTTATGATTTTGTATGACACAATATGATGCAATGGATGAAGGATTTTGCCAACAGGTGTCAGTTGTTCGTTTTTAAATTCATCGGCTCCTCCATAAAGATACTTTTGGTGCAAGTGTACTGTACATACCATATATCAGTTAGCCCATCTACAATCAACATTCATACAGTATTAACTTAAAATACAAACCAGCTACAAGCAGTGTTGCCGAGTCAGATGTTATAGCAATGGCCATGGGTCTCTTCACCAGAGAGTGAGTGTAGAGGAGTGTCCAAGTTTTTGTGCACCACACAGTAACCACTTTTGTCTCACATGCAACAGCCAGGTACTGTCCATCCTGAGATATTCTGACTGACATTATTTGAGTTTCGGTGCTGAAAACAGATATTCAGTATCACACATTAAAACACGTGAAAACTTGAATGCTCAAACCTAACAACCAACTACAGTTTATCAACTACTTGTATTACACTGATCCGTTCTGTATTTTTTTATAATTATTTTTAATAGTGTTCTTATGAATAGCTACAAACAAAATAATTATTTTGCACACCATCATTTGGACAAAAATATGTATCAATAAAACTACATTATGCAAAAAAATAACATTTTAAAAGATCAGAATCACACTGAAATATTACACAGCCTCTGAAAATTGGTGGATGAGTGCGACAGACTTGGCCGCTCGAGCGAACAGCGGTCAGCAGAAACGGGAAATATAACTTTGCAGATGACACCAAAATAGGGCGGCAGATTAATTCAAGGCAGGATGCAAATGCATTACAGGAGGATCTTAATAAACTGCAGGGGTGGTCTGAAAAATGGCAAATGAAATTGAGCACCAGCAAGTCCAGCGTACTTAATATTGGAAGAACAAATACTGTCAATGTATACAGCCTTAACAACATCAACCTAAAGAAGTCGACTTGTGAAAGAGACCTAAGGGTACTTGTAAGCCTGGACCTACGGCCTAGAAAACAGTGCGTTAATGTTCGAAATAAGGCAAACAGAGTATTGGGTTTTATATCTAGAAGTGTAAGTAATAAGAGTGCATAGGTCTTATTGCAACTATATCTTGCGCTAGTCAGGCCGCACCTCGATTATGCGGTTCAATTCTGGTGCCCTTATTATAGAATGGATATCAATTCACTAGAGTCGGTGTAGCGAAGATTGACGAAAATGATTCCGGGACTTAGAAACCTTCCATATCAGGATAGGTTAAAGAAACTAAACTTGCATTCCCTAGAAAGACGAAGAGTGCGGGGAGATATGATAGAAGTATTTAAGTGGGTGAAAGGAATCAATAAAGGGGATATAGATAAAGTTCTTATAATATCCGAGCAGGATAGGACTCGGAGCAACGGATTTAAGTTGGATAAGTTTAGGTTTAGGAGGGAGATAGGAAGGAACTGGTTCACAAATAGGGTGGTGGACGAGTGGAACAAGCTTAGCAACTTTGTAGTAAGTGCGGGAACTCTGGAAAGTTTCAAAAGGAGACTGAATAGATTCATGGATGATAGAGAGTGGTAGTAACTCTCGACAGGAGCTGCCATACACAGGCCAACCGGCCTATTGCAGACTCCTTATTTTCTTATGTTCTTATGTTAACTGTGAATTTGTTACCAGAGTTCAACAGTTAATTCATGTATAATATTTCTGACAAACTTCCTACGTGCTCCTGTTTGAAATAATGAATGTATGTATCTATATATAATTCAGCTAAATATCTTTCTCGTCAGAAATGGTCATCCCAACGATTATGAATAAACTCATTTAAAAATATACATCATTACTTCAGGAAGAAATCGAACAGATTTGCAACAGCCAATCAGCTGTAACTCTTGAGGAGGGGGCGGGGCATCTTTTCTCAGCTGGGAAAAAACGCACTATAGCAGATTCAAAGATGTTCAAAACTTTCTGTAGTCAATAATAATAATTAAAAATAAATAAATAAATCACCTGTTATGTGACAAATATGTAAGCTGGAAAAATTGGTGCAGAGCTCTTCCGGATAAATCCCACATCCCAGGAATTTTTCTGGGTACGGTATTAGGAAAAGTTTTTGAGGGACTAAACTATGCATCTTGCACAGACAGACACTCGGCAACATCCCTGAAATGTTTCTGGGTGCTGGAGAGTTTTCCGAGAGTCTAAACTATGCATCTCATCTCGGCTCTAAACTACCTGTTCACATATCTCATCTCACATGGACAAACACTCTCCCATTACATATAGACCGAGGGTACTAGCAAAAAATTTATGGCTAGCGAATAAGTGTAAAAACGTTTACCGGGTATTCACAGCATCTGTTCTAATTGTGTTAGAGAGATGAACCTGATACCTGTACCACAATGATCCAGAATAAATTCTCTACAAGACTGTTCCAATAAAATAACCTGAAATAAAATATTTTGACACCGTATAATGATGGGAACTCAATTCTTTTATGAAAAATGTAAGAAATGTTGATAGTGGAGTCTATAAAATCAGTTCTAATTAAGTTAGAAATCCATTTTTTTTACAAAAATAATCCTGAACAGTTTATCTAAAAGTTTGGTTATATAAATATATTTTTAAAAACTAAAATTCTCTATGATATGGGCATGCGAGGCACCTCGTGAATGGAGCTGTTTGCCACAGCAAGGACAGTGGAATTTTCCACTCTGTACCGAGAAAACTTTTCCTGAAAGTCTAAGCTACGCATCTCAGGCAGACAGACACAAGTGTTGTATTTATTTATGCAAACATCACTGTACACATACAATACAGAACAGTACCGTATATTGTAAATACTGTAAACAAAATAATGTATACTGTACTACTACTATACTGTATACAGTATACTCTACTCACCAGCAGATGCTGTCATCTTGAGCCTAGAGCAGGCATACACTGTCCACCCCGCTGAATGTAACACATAATTGTAATCACTTGCGATGGAGGTGTGGTAGGGGTCTCATTTTACTGACCTGACCTGAAACAATGCCAGGTCAACTATTGTATATAAACTCTTCACTCATTTGCAGTGGAGGTGGGGTGAAGGATTAGTGGTCTCATATTACTGACCTTCTGATGTATTGTCAGATCAACCACTGCTGGGATGGGGGATTAGTGGGCCTCATGACCTGAAGATGTCTTGCATAAAGATGAAAGCTAAGGTGCTCCAGTGTTTCTCACTTACTGAATGTACAGCACAGTATACATAACTGCAATCACTTTTTATATCTCAACACTGCTTAACCACTGTATTCTTGGCTGATTGTGTCCTGATACAGTCATGTACAGTACTGCACAATGCAAATTGTAAGCAAAAACGCAGCTAGCAAGGGAACAACCTACAACAATGGCACCAGAGTATGAACTAAGCAATCCAAGCAGCTAGGCAGCCCATGCGCCTAGCACATGAAGATGCGTTGGAGCATGATGCAATCTCTGGGAAATCCTGGAAATTTATTCCCAGGCCCAAAACAGAGATGTTTGGAGAGATTTTCTTGGAACATTCTTGGAAAATTTTCCAGAAAATGCACCTGATTTTCAACCTTGGTAAACCCGCTCGCCGACCCAAAATGGAAAGAGTTTCCCATAATTTTTTCAGTCCAATTTCAATTCCAACTATTGGAGAGTTCCAAGGATTGGGGATTCTGGCTAACGGTGAGATTACTATTCATATTTCATAATATTAATAATAGTTGGTCTTTTGATTCTCAAAAGTGCCAGTTCTTTTTTTCTAAAGAATTCACTAGCACTCGAAACACTACAAAATCAAAGACTTGAGAAGAAAAAGAAATATTGTACAGGTACTACAATAAAAGATCACAAAAAGTGGGTTTCACTTCTATCATTCATTTACCCTTAAGTTTTAATACTTACTAAACCCTGGATTCTCCATCACTGTACCCTGTTCAGGATCATAAGCTTTAAAAAAAGGAAAGGTCTTTTTATACTAAACTATAACTTTATTCTAATAGAGTATTGTACTATAATTTAAGACCCAAAATAACTACAGTACATTCACAAAAATTATTGTTTGTTTAATATAACAGACAAATTTTTTTAACTAACCTGCTATTGACACTATTTGCATTGTCACTATTCTCTTCCTTGGCCTTACACTTTGTACTTGAATTTGACACCTTCAGTATTTTTGTCTCACAACTCCTGAAAAAAAAAATGGTATGACAGGCCTGAGAGCAACATGTGTCATGAATGGGATGCACTGGGTTTCCTGGGAGATTGTGGATAATGTTTACAATTCAGAAGCAGATAGTAGGAGGAAGGGGGAATGAAGACGATGGAAGGTTGGAATGAAGGAATTTATTAAAAGTGATAGGAATGAATATCCTGAATATAGCAATGTACATGAATGGTAGGAGCATAGTGACATGTAGTATACAGTATATGGGGATGTTCTGGCCACCCTGCAGCATGGCAGAAAATGGCTTAACTACAACTGCATGAAGATACTGGACACCAAATGTCAACTACAAAACATCCCCAAAATAATAAACCATCCTAACCTAAATAAATAGAAAGTTAAATGAAAGTTTAATAACATGCACTATATAAATAGTTTTATTTCAACTTACGTGTAGAGTATACAGGTTGTACCTCTCTAGTCCGGCATTCTGTGGTCCGGAAACTCCTGTGGTCCGGAACAATTTTAGTTTGTCCAATAGGTAGATAGGCAGCTGCTTTTTTTTTTTTTTTTTTAATCTGAATTATTATTATTATTACAGGAGTATTAAATTTTTGTCCCCCAGGCCCCAATGTAGGTCAGTGACCTATGCCCGGGTGGGCTAATCCCCGTAAAAAAACAACAACAAAGCCGCGGAAAATTAAGGTTTGTTTACATCCGGCAGTTCGGCTGCTCTCTCTCTCTCTCTCTCTGCTTGTCTATGCAGAGTACAACATTTAACCCTTCAATATATATGAGCAGTAAATAAGTGTTGCTTTCATATTCTTATGTAGAGTAATGACGATATGTTTTCACATGTGCGCACTTACATACGCGCAGTCTCACTTTTTTTTTACCATTAATGGTTAGCTACTTATATTGTTCCATTTATTAACATTAAATAACATTACAGGTACTTCAAGCAACCATATTCATTTTTTTACATTAATTTTACTACAGCTACAATCAGGGTCTTATTTTCTTCAGTTTTATATGTAGAACCAGTCACTGGTTTTGTAATCAACGAAAACAATGCTGTGTCATTTCCTCGTGTGTTTTAATATGCTATGTAATATTAATGAATTGTATTGCTCATTTTGCACGCATAAACATTAATTCAATAAAAAAGGCATTCAGTAATAAACAATAATGAATCTTTTGTACATAAGAGAAATGACGCTGTTTACACAATTATGCACGTCATCTGCACGTTGGCGGGCCGTTCAAACCCGCCGAAATTCAAGTTTCCGCCGTCAAAATTTTTATTTCTTTTTTTTGTGTGTGTTCCAATGAAATACGTTGAATTAAAAACTCGCGAAATTTGAGAAGCTACTATACGACATTTAACCCTTCAATATGTCTTCAAAGAGACCATGATGCAGACAAAGTGGTGCTAGTGCTTCCAAGCATAAGCACAAGTCACTATCTATCCAGGAAAAGGGTGAATTTCCATGGTCCGGCACCAATCAGGTCCCGAGGTTGCCGGACTAGAGAGGTACAACCTGTACTGTACAGGTAAAGTGCTCTGCAAAAAGGGATGGATTACAAAATCATCTCCAATTTTTACTTAGGGTGAGTTTGTATATCACTGATAAAGCAGCCTCTATCATAAAATGCTTCAACAAATGCATGCAAACAAAACATCACTGAACTATATCTCATTTTAAAAAGAATGAAGCACCGAGTGGCAAAAAAAAAAATAGTACAGGAGGTCCTTGATTTAAGAATGTCTATATTTATGAATATGATTCCCAACACCAACCTCACCCTTTTCTAGTAATCAAGTCATCCACCATTCATTCTAGCACCATCCATTCCTATGAACAAGCCATTTTCAGAGGTCAAGGTACAGTACTGTAAGATAGGGTGACTTTGAACAGTGTTTGAGGTTTTTTAAGCTGCAGTTTAAGTTTGGTGCAAGAACTAATGGGCTGTCTGTAAGTGTCAACAGAAATTCAGCAGACTTCATACTTTTTCTGTGAAGAGTAGATTTATAGGTGTTCGAAGTCACTCTGGGGTAACTTTGGACAACCATGTTAATTCAATGGCTGTACCTGTTAGAGCCTGTGGGTTACTTCAACCATCAATAAACCCAGAAAAAAATTGAGCAAAAATTGGCAACAACAAAATTACATATACAGTACAGTAAAAGTAAAAAAGGGAAAACTCTTCAATAAAATTGTATTACATGAAAATAACATGCTACCGGTATGTGTATCTGTTAGGGGCAAATTTTGTAAGATTATACATTAGGAGAGACAGCAAAGCGAAATTAACCGGGTACCAGTGCCCAGTACTGTATGCACGTTCTTGTTTTGTCCCAGAGCTGTAGATTAGTTCTATCATTATTTAATTATCAGTACCATGTATAATGCCATTACTGTACAAGTTATATATCATGCAATCTTGCAAATATGTACGTGAATAACATTTAGATTGTCCCTCCGAAGTCATTTTTTCGAGCTGTACGAAGTCACCCCAAGTTGAGGAGAATTTTCACATACAGTCCTGTACCTCCATTAATTTTACATTTTCAGGTATACAGTACAGGATATATCAAGCATCTCAGATTGTTTCTATATTTTCAACATAGACAAGTTTCTAATATTTTTACTAGTTATATTACTCTATGTACAGGTACTCCTCTACTTAAGAACATTCGACTTACAAACTTTCATAGATACAAACATCCTCAATGAGGGGGGTTACCTTCCAGAACAGGTGTTTAATGTGGATGAGACTGGATTATTTTGAAGAAAATTACAGATAGAACAAACATTACCTAAGAGGAGAAGAGTGAGCCAGGTTTTAAGGCTGTATCATAGGGTATAGCTGTATTACACACCCATTATCTTTTCATTTTTTACAATATGTTTGGTATCTACAAGAGTAAAGATGGATTTACGAACAAGCCTCAGGAACATAACTCGTTCGTTAATAGAGGAGCACCTGCAGTGGGTCCCCAACTTACGAACGTCCGACTTACGAACACTCGCCGATACGAACGAGGTCCCATAGTTAAACTTTAAAAAAAAAATTCAGGGATTAGCCCACCCAGGCACATTAGACAAAACATTATGCTTCCAATATCTTCCCATGCAGTAGTACTTCCCAGTTTGATAGCTGCCTACTACCTACTGCCTTTACCTGATGACATATTTTTTACTTTCATTTACTATATTTTATCATTCTATTTCTTCTTTTCTCTTAAATTAAGTGATTTTAGATGAATTTAAGGACTTTGGCTATGATATGGTGGGATTTTAAACATTGTTTTGTAAGTACACAAACTGCCTGTACTCAGTGGTCCTTCTTATAAAAAAGTATAAAAATTATAAATCCTCTACCATTTTTTCTACTTATGAGATAAGAATCAAGATTTTTTCTATGGATAATTATTTTAAGTGGCTTCTTCCTATTAGTCTGATGTCTAAAGTATTATATACCCCCCTAACCTTACCTATGGTAACTTCCAAGGAATGAAAGGCTTTATTTTGTTCCCTATTTTTGGTTATGGGTAACTTTGTATTTAACTGGTGCAAAATAATGAGCATCCTTGTTTGCAGTCAGAAAATCTGGGAACTTCCCAAAGTACAGTATACATATCCTCTAAACTCTGCAGGTTTAAACAACGTGGCCCTCGCCCCTCTGCGGCTTGCATGGGGATCAAGGAAGATTGTGTACGTGCGTCTGACAACTTCCACTACTGGCCATGAGAGCGTTGCTCCGAGTGCTACAAGTGCTGCCAGCAAAACACTGCATCTGAGAGACACAGAATACACATCCATGCTCTTCATATTTCTTATTTTATAGTTTTATATTATATTTTCTTTAATTCTGCTGACTGGCATGTCAGCCAGCTGCTTCCTGGCTTGTGTCTCACAAAAATGCAATTCTTTAACAATTATTCTACTCTATAAAAACAAGGTGGCTAAGAAATAAAGAATATACAGGGTGTCCCGAAAGTCTCTTTCCATTTTTAAATATTTATTACTAAAAAACCAAAAGGGATGTAGTAATACAGTTTGCTGCATCATATTCCTTAGTTAATCAAGTTTTTTCTTTACAGATGCAGTAGATTTGAGAGGTATTATCTTGGTGGATAAGATAAGGAGTAACAATGGTGTCTAATCAAGAGAAAGCGCAATGTGTTGTCTGGTTTGCAGAGAGCCAACATCAGAACACGTTTGATTTCATTCATTTTTTTCCTCAGATGTTCTTTGGATGATATTAAGCAATAAAAATGATACGACAATGCACAGAACCTAATAGAACCTGACTGACCTGACCTAACATAACCAACCAAAGAAAACTACCTAGCCTTACCTAACTTCCTAGCTGGAGGGCAGACCCCAGCCATATTAAACAGAAAGTACTTACTATGATATCTGGTACTAATAAAAGCAACTTTCTTGAAGCAGCATGATATAACTTTACCTTTTTTGTAGACTTGAAAGAATGCTCGGACCGAGCGCAAACAAAGAGCAGACGACAACACGGCAGATTTTTTGGCTGAATATTTATGGTAAAAAATTTATTTATGCATGTACAAAGCACGTAGAGGCATCTTTTTAGTGTATTATGATCAGTTTTTCCCTGTGTATTACCCAGCAATACTCCTCATCCATCATAACCTGTCAACTGCAAGCGATTTATGATCGGAAATTGAGAAGAATTTAAAAAATGTAAATAATACATATACGGTACTGTAATTAAAATAAAAAATTGTCATACCGGTATTGTTTTTATTACTTACTATCATCCAAAGAACATCTGTGGAAAAAAGTAACGAAATTGAACAACTCCTTCTGATGTTAACCATCTGCTCCAGTATGTACAGTATTACCAAATTACCTAGCCTAATCGGGGACCCCTGGCATATATAAGTCGTTTGCGAGGGAAACGAAGTCGAAGAAAAGTGTCTTAGAATTGTGTAACCATTGTCTAACCAGTGGTGCTCAACCTTTTTGAGTGAGTGGACCTCATTAAATGGGCAACTGTGTGATAAGGGCCGTACATTGACCTTATTGTGAATAAGCGTAGTAAATCATGTACTGTACACATAAATAACAGTGATTATTAAGTATTATCCATGCAGTGTAGAGTTAAAGAAGGAATCATAATCACAACACCTCTTACGGAAATCACTGGCTGCATTACCCAAATAATCATAATTTTGTTTTGGTGAAAAAATCAAGTACAGTAGAATCCTAAGAGTCGTCCACTCATCTAATGAGACATGCCAGATGCGCTATGCATATAACTGTAACATAATATTTTGTTTATATTTAATGCAGCTGAGGGCTGCATTAAACCTCCCTGAGGGCTGTATGTGGCCCTTATAAAGTGGGTTGAGCACCCTTGGTCTAACTATTGATTGCAAAGATAGAATTCCTAAGATTCCTGTATTATCCAAAAGTAAATACGTAATACCAGGTAGGTTAGTTAGGGTCAGTTTTATATAAAGTATACAGCACCCTCTTATGGTTTCTCCCCCACTTTATTCTCTAATTTCTAGCTTCCTTGAGAACTGACCCATGGCAGTTATTGTCAAAGGATCGATCACTCGCTCTTTCTCTACCAATAGTGGTGTCCCACAGGGTTCTGTTCTTTCACCTACTCTCTGCCTTCTTTTTATCAATGATTTACTTCACACCTTGACTAATTCTATCCATTCTTATGTTGATGATTTTACTCTTCACTCTTCTTCACATTTTTCCCTTCCCCTTAATTCTCAAACTAGATCTGTTTCTAGAGCTGATATCATTTCATCTATCAATGCGAATCTGTGCAGCATCGCCGAATGGGGAGGTAGAAACTTGGTTAAATTCAACAGTAATAAAACTCAATATTTACCAATTACACTTTCCAAGTTAAATGATCTCCCACCAATCACATTTCAGGACAAAATCATTCTGCCAAGTTCTAAAATAGATATGCTAGGTTTCACCATTTCCTCTAATATGTCATGGAAGCCACACATCCACAACATTGCTAAAGCTGCCTCCCGAAAGCTGGGAATGCTGTACAGATCCTGTAGCTATTTCACTCCTGAGCAGTTGCTTCAAGTTTGTAAGGGATTCATTCGTCCTAACTTGGAGTACTGCTCTCATATCTGGGGTGGCTCTTCTTCTGTCCAACTGTTAGATAGGGTGGAATCAAAGGCATTTCATCTTATTAACTCTCCTCCTTTAGTTGATACTCTTTCTTCCCTTTCTCTTCACAGCAATGTTGCTTCACTCTCTCTTTTTTACAGATACTGTAATGGGCAATGTTCAGTGGATTTGGCATCCTGTCTACCGTCGGTAAGGCTGTGGGCTCGTGACACTCATCTTGCCTGTGGTGCCCACCGTTTCTCTGTGGATGTCGGTCGCACTAGAATAACCCGTTATAGTACCTCCTTCTTTCCTCACACAGCCAAACTGTGGAATGCTCTGCCTTCTTCTGTGTTGCAATACTCATACAATCTGTCCCACTTTAAAAAACAGGTTTTCTGGCATCTTTGTGGTGTAGATTAATATAATCTTTTTCTTTTCTATTTTTAATTTCTTTTTACTCTTATTTTTTTGCCCCCTAGACCCCGTTGTGGGTCGATGACCTGCGCCTGAGTGGGCTATTCCCCATAAAAAAAAATTAAACGTGAAAAGGGTCAATTAGTAGAGGACATATTGGATTTTAGACGTTGCAATCTGGACTTTGTCTCAAAAACTGTTTTTTAGAAAAAAAAAACTTTTATTGCTAATGATAATAAGTTCAATAAAAAACAAGACGATTTTCGTCTATGACACTTTTGGCAGTCTTTACATAACCGTGATAGTGGAGGTTAAAAATCATAAAACCAATACAGTAGAAAAATTCTAACAGGTGGCGAGAAATGGCAGGGTTTTGTTTTATTTAATAATAAGTGAGGACAAAAACAAGAGGATTTTCTTCTATGACACTTCTCTCGCATTTTACACAGAGATATCAGGAGTTGAAAATTTGAAAATTACAGATATTAGAAAAATCTAAGCTCTTATTGCATTTCTTGCCACCAACTGAATCTCATGATTTTATTTCTTTGTAAACAATAGTTTAGACAATTTTAAGACACTTTTTTCAATAACATTTCCCTCACATACGACACCTTGAACAATTAATATGTCAGAGTGCAGGGGAGCCTCCCCCGGTTGAGAAGTTAGGTAAGCTTAGGTATGTTTGGTTGGTTAGGATAACTTTGATAGTGTAGTGGATCTCTCCCCGACAACAGCGTAGCCGCATTCCAATGCGACAGTATCCTAGCAACCGGTGAGCTTCTCCTCTAACGAAGCTCCTGCACAGATACCTCCTAAAACACGCTACTCACCGAACGTGTCTTCTGAGCAAGCTTCTCACCACACAGCATCTCCAGCACCAGACTGTCTTGTATATAATATATTTTATATAAGAAAACCACCACCTAGAGTTTCCATCCATCCCATCCTGAGTGCTAGACAACACATCACGTAACCCTACAATAACACCAACCAAACCTACCTACCCCCCCTCCCCGACACATTAAATATATTAGTTCCAGGACGTTTACGAGGGAAACGTCATATTAGAAAAGTGTCTTAGAATTGTCTAAACATTTAATATTTAGAAGTTGCCAACACCTACTTTTATATTGAGTCTTATACTGTATAGGGAGAAAGACACCAAAACTAAAAATAATTCATTCTTCAACATTTTTGGCAGAAATTTATATTTCTTGAGTATTTTAACCAATTTAATTAACCACAATACTGTATTAGTTGTTCAAAGTGGGCAGGGCTTTCAGGTAAAGGAAAAATGTGGGGTAAAATACCTAGAAAGAACACCAAACAAACCTTGAAAACCTTACCTATTCTTTTGTAACTCATTAAAATGTTAAAAATCACTTTTGAGCTTATGGATCCCTTCTCATCTGAGTACCGAAAACATCATATACTAAACACCGAAAACATAAATAAGGTGGAAAAGTTAGGTCAGGTTTTCAAAACTTTGTTTAGTATTTTAACCTACATTTTCCCTCCACTTCAAAGCCCTGCCTACTTTAAACAAGTAATATTGTTGGTAATTTTATCAGTTAAAATACTCAAAAAATATAAATTTCCGATGGAAATGCTGTAGAATAAATTATTTTTCTCTTTCTCCCTATATAGGACTTAATATATAAGTAAGTGTTAGCAACTTCTAAATATTTACCATCTATTGTTTGCAAAAAATATCACGAAACTTGGTTGGTGGCAACAAATGCGATTAATATTGACGTCTGACCCTCAGGCTAGTTATTTGTTTTGCTGTTTATTTTCTTAATCTATTTTCATCAGTGAGTACTGATATGATACTCATTTCTTGGGCAAATGCTTAGTTTGGTAGATATTTAGGCGCCTATGGTGCATTATTTTGTCTTCCTGGCGGTAATGCAGCCACGCTCTTTGCCTCACTCATGCCTCTCGTTCCCGAGCCAGTTTAATTTTCTGCATGACGTGTGAGGTTGTCGCCGGTCTTGTGCTACAGTTCTAGTGCTTATAAAGGAACTTGGCTTGAAAATGCCAAGATTAAACCCAGTATTGTGCTTTCATTTATAAACACTTTACTAAGAAAGTACTTTTCACAGCAATAATGTGAAATTTAACTGGGTTTGTGTGCAAAGTCTGTTGTATATGACATATTTCAAAACACTCCGCCACCCAGGCTGGATCAACACTGATGCAGGCAGCTGCTCTCACGTCCACAAAAAACGTAAAAACATTGTAACTTCTTTCTGCTTAATATACCGAGGACCCTGGGGCAAAGTTAGGTAATGTTAGGAAGGTTTGTCTGGTGAGGTTGGTGAGGTCTGTTTTTCATATCAACTAAGGTTAGGTTAGGTTTAATTTAGAAATAACCACTTTTTTAACACATTTGCACAAACTACAACAGTGTTCACTATAAAACACAGTGAAATTGAGGCATTTTTATAATCCTTTTCTTTGAAAAATCGGCCATGGGTCAGTCGTCAATAATTACCACAAATGCAATAGTAGCAGAGACGTGACCAATCGCCCAAGCGGCTAACGAGCCGATCAGTGGTGAAGAGGATAAAAGTAAAAAAGTAGTAGCTTTTCAATTTTCAACCCGCCAAAAGTGTCGTAGATGAAAATCGTCTTGTTTTTGTCTGAATATAACCTTTACCGAACTTATTATTAGCCGCAATAAATAAAATCCATTATTGAATGATGTTCTATACGGTACTGTAAATCAACCGGGAACAGAAGTATGAAGGTGAACATGGCAGTCCAAGTTGCATGCACCATATTCCCACAACAAAAGTAGGAAATCTACAGTTCCTTCACCCATTTCTTTCTTTTCATTAAGTTAGAAACGAGTTCTATCCTACATAAATTATTCCCCAAGTAGCTCCTTCCCATGAGTCTAACCTCTTCAAGTAACACCTATAGCCTCTCTAAGTAATACCTATTCATTTTATCTAGAAAACTGATGCACACTGTGAGTTTCTATCACTAGTTTATCTCATTTATAACCATACATCATAATTACATTTAAAATCTAATATGACATTACGTTCAGTTCATCCTTACCCACTATGGTAGACAAGCACATTTTTCCCGCAGCAAAATACAGTAAAATCATGGGCAACCTCAATACGACCCATTTCTCTGAATTACGGCAAATGTATATGTCTTCTTCTTCTTGTTCGGTTAGTATTTAGTATTTACTGTATATAGTCTTCTAGTCTAGTCCCTGGGGTTTTCTTTGAGGTAACTTGAGCGTTCCTTGACACACGCTGCTGACAGTGTTGTTATTATGATAGTTCTGCTGAAACACTAACACAAACTAAACTAATTCAACACAAGTCAAATTTTCATTTTATCAATCACGTGTTAAATGTTTATTTATTTCTTGTATAAACAATTTAAAGCTTGACGTTAAAGTTTTATCTTTTTTTAGAAACAAATTTAGGTCAAATTAATTTTTTTTCTTCAAAATTATGAATACCCAGAAATAATTTATAAAGTCTTTGAAGGATTGAAAAGCCTACTGTTGGTGGATGTGTGTACGAGCACCAGAAGACCCCCTTCTAGCACCCTTCCCAGAGGGGTGACCGGGGATCCCAAATCATCTAAGTTACTAAAACTTAGGCTACACTAGAAAAAAAATTCCCATAACCTTGCCGTCGTTCCAGCAGTAGCCCCTAATGCCACAGCCGTTTTCTATGGTGTGTTGACGTCACGTCTGGAAGCGGCTCCCTCGCTAATCCGCTAAGCCTTACATTACACTGATACAGGAGCGTGGGAGGGAGGCGATGTCGGGCGGGAACTGTCGTTATACTAGCTCGGCACATCCACCAAAAATAGGCTTTTCAATCCTTAAGCGCCTTTATTGTAGTAGACTGTGCCTCCCTAGTATACGAGTGCAACTTCCCTGGTGGAAGAGGAATGCAGCAGGAAGCCACGTCTACTGGAGAGCGCCTGAAATTGCCTAGCTTATTTACAGACGGACAAGGGGAGACCTAATTGAGATATATAAGCATCTCAGACTCGAGGGCACTACTCAGTCGAGTGCCCTTACCTGGAGCTCGCGGACGCTCGCCCCATAAGGGGTCACAGCTCAAGGTTGAAGAAGCCGCAAGCCCAGAAAACTGTGAGGGATAACTTTTACGGAGTGAGAGTTGTGAACTCTTTGAACAATCTGCCAGAGAGTGTTGTGACGGCACCTAGTGTGATCTCTTTCAAGACTAGACTTGACAAGCACTGGAGCAGGTTCAGATACATTCAGGAGCCAGTGCATGCCCAGTATTTGTCAACAGTGTTTAAGAGACGTGACCGATCGTCCAAGCGGCTAAAGAGCCGATCAGTGGTAAAGAGGATAAAAGTAAAAAGTAAGTAAAAAAGTAAACTTTTGGAACAATCTGCCGGAGAGTGTTGTGACGGCACCGAGTGTGAACTCATTCAAGGCCAGACTTGACCAACACTGGAGCAGTTTCCGATATATTTAGGACCTAGTGCCTGTCCAGTATCTGCCAACAGTGCGTATCAGAGACGTGGCCGACCGCCCAAGAGACTAACGAGCCGATCAATGGCGAAGAGAATAAAAGTAAAAAGTAAGGTGATGTGAGTGAACATACTGTTACGAACCCCTTGCGCCGCTTACCAGCGGCCTGGGTCGTGTATACAGAAGCAGTAGATAATTACAAGTGTCGTCGAATTACCACTTGCTTTCCCACCAGTCTCTGGCAATTTCCCGACGATCGGTATCAGTGTACAGAGAACATAACAGGCAGGTAGATTTCCATCTGGTCACAGAAATGCACGTGTGCACTGTAGCCCTCTTTAATCAGTAAATCTTCACACAAATGTTCACAGGGTATGTCCTTACCACTAGACTTCTCACTTCGAATATATACAGTCAGCACACTACCAGCGTATACAGTAATTCCTTGATCTTTTCACTTCATATCGCTCACAACAATTCCACAGTATTTGCACAACAATTATCTTTAGCTGTCACTAGGCTTGTACTTTACACTCTGTGCAGAAATGATCGACCGATTTCCCCTAGGCAGCTCGCTACCGCTTATATACCACATCAGATACACACATCAGATGCCAACAGTGCGTGACAGAGACGTGACCGATCGCCCGGGCGGCTAGCGAGCCGATCAGTGGTGAAGAGGATAAAAGTAAAGTAAAAGTAAAATGATGCAATACATTCTAGAAAATTCTTACATAAGTAATACATCAACATAGACAAGAAAATCTCATAAAACTTGCAAAAAATAACTGTTGATTGGAATAGAAAATAATCAGAATACCTAGTTCACAAAATGATTGATTGATTGATTGCGGTAATTACATTCCTGGCGACGGTAACAGCTCAGGTCATATGTCGCCGAATTATTAATGTAATATTAAGGTTTAAAAGACTAAAAAATAAAATAATGCAAGTTAAAAATACAATAATAACATAGAACGTTCATAAAAACCATTTAAACGTTAATAAATAAAATTCAATGCTTGTGTAGAAGGCTGGCTTCTTCCACAAAGGAGAGGACGTCCCCTCCCACGTTACCCACTCCGCCCAGCACCAAAGAGAGACAGTAAGACCCGTCTTCCCCACGGCACCGGGAGAGGTGCTTACAACGAAGATCTCTGAGACGGGCATTCCACCAGGTATGTCACGGCACAACAATACCTTGAAAGTTGAAATTGACCATTTATACCTCAGACTTAGAGTAAAAGAAAAGAAACATTGGGCAGTATATGCGTTATTTAATATGTTACTTACAAAATATACTCACCGACCTTGAAGGTCATAAAATGATGGCAATTGTGGTGGAGGTCTGGGTCACTGGGGTTCCGTTGATGAAGGAAGAACCCCAAGTGCCACGCATGGCGTGTCTATTATGTGGTGGTCCAGTTACCTCTTACAGAAGGAGTCTGTGGATGTTCACTGTCCCCCTTCTTTGTCCAGGTCGAGCGGCCTTGATCGGAGGAATGTGAGGTTGCCGCGTGTCCTCTCAGATCGTGCGCGCAAGGGGTTTGGTCCTGATCCACCCTCTCAATAACCCGGCGAATGATCAAAGATATATTTGTCAGTGTAAGGGGCGGTCCGAGTCAGGTCAGATGAATAGAGACTCTTGATTTCTTGATGGTGACGCCCTCGCGTATGCAAGCAGTGCGTCCACTGAGCATAGAGAGTAAGGGCGACCATGCAAAAATGGAAACTGGACCCAAACGGTGATCATCCCTCTTATTCTTCGCCAAGGCCTGAAGAAATGGGGCAAATGAGACTGCAGAGCCATCCTGCGCAAACCCTGTCCAGCTCTAGAAGCGAGTGAGGGCTCTGAGCTGGATGTTTGAAGGCCCGTCGCCAGGGCGATTAGGAATACTGCCATGTGGAGGGTGTCTGTGGGAGAGAGGTCATCCATGTAATGTGAGGAGCAGAGGAGGTCCAGAGTCCGTTGGAGTGATCACGAAAGCTCTTCTTGTCTGGGGGGGAGGGTGTTGGTGAAACAGCCCTCTCTTGACCAGTTGGCCCAGTGCGGTGCCACAGCGATGGAAAAGTGGGTCGGCCCTTGTCGTGAGCTAGACCTGACAGAAAGTCGAGCACGAGGGAATCCAAAATTAAATCAAATTGAAACTGTTTAATTGGTCCAGAAACATACATATACAGAGTCGATAATAATAAAAATATTGACATGGCTGAGCGGCTGAGCCAGTTGAGAGCCTGAGCTCTCTTGAAGGCACTTGAGTGATGTATACTGTAAGTCTATCTCAAGGAAGTATTATGTGACATAGTATCATCTGGAATAGTACACACAACAAGGTGGAAGTAAGAACATATCAGAATTGTTGTCGCCGCTGGCTTCAACTACAGTGCTGGCGTTGCCTTACCCAAACAAACATTAAATTTATCAGCCTGCGACCACGTGCGCAGCCCCCCCCCCACCCCCACGCGACCTGCACAAACAAGATGCCCTGATTCTGCTGAGTGTATGGTTTAGAGCAGGGGTGGGCAATTACTTTTGATGGAGGGCCACTTCATGAATGGTTTTACTTAGGCCAGACAGGTAAAGATCTTGTAACTAGACTTAAACAACATAAATATAGTGTTAGGACAGGCCAGGAATCAAATGCTCTGTTTGTTCATTTGAGGGATAATAAGCATTGCATTGACTGGGATAATGCCTCCTCAATATTACCTTGTAATTCAATTGACAGTAGGAACATTATAGAATCTAGTCTCATTAAACATACCGAATCCGTCAACATGAATTTGAGTAACGGTATGTACAAACTGGATGATTTCGTAATTAAGAAGATTTGTAACCAGGTGAGAAGGTTGGGTCACCTTACCCTCTGACCTGACTATGGACTGCTGCTATGCTTATGAAGATTAATAGGGTCACTGCCTAGTGACTGGACCATTGTAGACACTCACTGTCCCCTAGGGACTTGATCTCACTCTCCTCTACTGTATATATATGCCTATATAGTGGGGTACGCTATAACGAATGGATTCTACTACGAATATTCCTTTAACGAACGGTTTTACCTATAAAACTGAGAATGCTATAACGAACGAAACTCCTACAACGAACATAATTTTTTCTTATTTTTTTTTTTTTTACTAATTTATTGTTTTTTTATTACAAGTATTAATGATATTCCTTATTTCAGGGGTTAAGATGCATATTTATGCACTTTTTTACAATTTTTACAATTTTATATTATATTTTTCAGTGTTAAGTGGTTGTATTTGGGGGCCTGGAACGGGTTAATCCTATAACGAACAAGGTTCTAGAACCAATCAGATTCGTTATAGCACATCCCACATATAAATATATATATATATATATATATATATATATATGTGTGTGTGTGTGTGTGTGTGTGAAACTTTACAGTTTCCTATATATAGGTTCATTATTATATTTCTTGGGATTTTAAATAAAAGTCACACATACGAATTATGAAATATTTATTAAAATAGAAGTAACACATTAGCGACAAAATTTTAAAAGTCAACATTGTCGTGGGTTATATCCACAAAGATGGTGATAAAACTGTCTTCATATCTAAAATTAAGTAAATAAAATTCTTATTATATATTTGTAAGTTAAAATTCGTGAAAAATTTCATCACAGAAGGTTGGCTGAGAGCCGTCAAACACTGGTAGCCGAGTGTGTGTCTGCCAGGCTACCCGCTGCACCGTCATCAATGCTGTTACCTCAGCATTTTGGCACCGTTCAAGAGAAATAATGGTAAGGTACTATAAAACTGGAGAATTGTCCTCAAGATATCGCCATTAAGTTTGCATTTAGCAATATAGCCATTTAAATATTGCC